CGAACTTTTTGATCATCCCTCATACTTCACCTGTTTATTCCCAGGTCATGGAGGATATAGTACAGTACTCTGGAATATCCCGGGGCAAGCATCTCATTATCATCTCTTAAACTTTGTTGCTCATGACTGTCATAGATCACTTAAGTTACATTATTATCTTTTATTTGACTGTGTTTGTTTGTTTCTTGAGACCCTTATTAGCCATTCAATGCACCTTTAATATCTCCCGGTAGAGAGGAGCGGAGCATACTGTAGTAATCAGTAGGTTTGTCTTTGTGTATAGAAGAACAAATTTGTGAGGTGTTATTATGGTTTTGTTTACTGATGGTATAACTGATGTTGGGATCATGACCACAACCAAATGTTAAGGAATCATTCAAGAAGTAATTAATCACTTGTCGTTTCTAAAGTCTCGGCAGTTATTGGTTTGACTAGATCATGAGTCTTACCTAAATCCAGTTCTGTTGTTGGGTGGTTGTCGACGGCTGTTGGGTGGTTGTCGACGGCTGTTGGGTGGTTGTCGACGGCTGTTGGGTGGTTGTCGAGGGTGGTTGGGTGGTTGTCGACGGCTGTTGGGTGGTTGTCGACGGCTGTTGGGTGGTTGTCGACGGCTGTTGGGTGGTTGTCGACGGCTGTTGGATGGTTGTCGAGGGTGGTTGGGTGGTCTTGCGTGGGAGCGGTGCCCTACACACTACCACCAACCCTGTCCTCTTCTGAAGTGAATGAACTGTGTTGTGTGTGTGGAGAGGAAGAGAAGGAGGAGGAGGAGGAGGAGCAGGAGGAGGAGGAGGAGGAGGAGAAGTGGGTAGTACAGGAGGAGGTGGTGGTGGTGGTGGTGGTAGTGAACCGAACCTAACCTAATTAGTCAACACTTTCATAAATATTGTCCCGTCTTACTGACACTGTGAGGAGCAGCCAGCCATTCTTTCCCTTTGACAACACGCCCCACACACTGTTGATAGATGGGGTGACCACTCAGTATAACACACGTGGTAGTGGGGGTAACTGTTGGTCACCTTGTTCGATTAGTTTTCCACTTTCCTAACCTAATTTTATTCTTGAATTATTTCTTTAACCCATGGCGTCTTGTTCTTGAAGATTGTTTACAAACTTTCTCATCTCTTTCGGACACACACAGAAGAGACTCGTTCAGTAATAATGTTTCATCGTCATCTACAACACGACAAGACTGTGTTGTTCAGGTGATGGTCATTTGTCAGTTGTCACCCATCTCACCATCACTTGCCTGTCCCTCTCACACTATAGGCGAACACCACAACTACGGTCTTGTTATACTAAACCAACAGTAAATGGATGACTTGAAGTTTAGCCACCCTAGCTTGTTCATCTGACAATTAAACACTCCAATTAATGTTATGTGGTGCTGAGTGAACATATGTAAGGTGAAATTTTAATGTAATTGTGATAATAACTTCATTGTTTACCTTTAGTTTAGTACAAGTATTTGCATCATTAGTTACGAGGAATGTTTTATTGTACGATCATTTGTGAATCTAGACACTGGTTGTATTGTGTTGTGTCTGAGGGTTTAGAAATCCATTCAACTCGTAATTCCAAAGAAATAAATGTGTTACCGTGTGTAGGTTTGTGTCTGTGTGTAGATATTTCATGGTCTTGGCAAGTGTCTGTTCCTTGGGGGCTTTGTATACAGGAGCACCACAGCCCGCATTAATATCCGTCCAAGTCTTGCGTTTTGGTACTTTACAGAGACATTTTTCTCCCAACACCACATTGTATTCGGTGAAATCAAAATTTTTTACATCGTTTTAAATTTTATATATTAAGTTGATTCACATGAAGAATCTCTACCCCATATTTAGATGAAATAAGCTGGGGTGGAGATTCTTCTTCAGTGGAGGTTCAAGGAAAGTTACGCCCCTATAGGGTGAGTGGTGACGGACACAACATGGCTACAACACCACAAAATTTATCAAGTAAGAAGAACCATGCAAACTTAACTAAAAACACCTTAGGTTGGTTATTTTAGGTTATTTTACTTTGAATTTATTGACTACAGAAGATATTATACAGTATAGTATATTCTACAGTATATTTTGATTTAGCTATCAAAGTCGAGTCATTTTTTAACATTAGCTCTATCAAAATAGTGGAAATATTTACTATGGGAACACTATGGTAAAATAGTACAGTGTATAACTTGTATATAATTATAGTTCTTTGATGGATAATACTAACACAATAATAACTTTGAGTAAAGTAAAAGAATGTCATATATCACTAAGCTGAGTCTAGTACAACTGAAAATATAAAAACAATATTTTGATTTTATTTACCAGTCATTATCATAAATAAAGTATAATTAAAACTAATTATCTTAAATTTTAGTAAGTATTTATTATATTATTAAGCAAAATAATTCTAAGATAAAGTTGTTTATAGTTTGTTAATAAGGTCCTCCATCCCACTGAGTGTTGGAGGAGTCACGCGGCAGCCAGACCAGGTGGGTGTAATACCTCTCTTTATTTAGTCATTTTCTGCTGTAGTAGTTATTAATCGTAACTGTAACTCCTGTAGCACATAAAGCTATCCATAGTGAAGGTCTAGACTGTATTAGTACTTGTTATTAGTAATTTGAGAGAGTAAAATGAGGTATTTAACGTTTGTGTTTATTATGCGGCAAAATGGATCAAATAAATCCATTATTTATTTATTTATTTTTGTAGGTAATTATTTAAGGTTAATCAATGAAAGGGATTGATTATTTAGCTTATTTTCTATCGCTTTTCTACATTAAATACCAAAGCTATATAATGTACACATGTTATTAAAATCATTAAGACGAACCATTAAGTAATAATATATTCCATTAACAGATTTAATTGATTTTCTCTGAGTTAATGAGTGTCAGGTGAGTTAACCTGAATTATTTAATGGTTATTGATGGTAGAGTGTTATAGGGAGTTATATAATTAATCCGTGTTATAGATCATTGGTCAAGACAGACAAATTAAAGATAATATTACAAAAAATGTTCTTCCCAAACTGGGGTATATTACTGACCCGGGGTACACGCATAGTGTTATTAATTCTATAAGTACCGTAAAGGATAAAAACTTGATGGATTAAATGTTTCAGGTGTGTATTGAACAAGTGTACCTGTACATACCAACATCATTAAGTGGGATCCTCACATGAGATGTCCTGGTCACTTGCCAAGAGAGGTTTAGAGCTGTTTGACAGTGATCTGCCGGGTGAGTTGTAATGTACATTATTGTAGGTCATGATAGATAGTACTGAAGAGTTGATATATTATGTTTACAGATATAGAGATGAAATTTGTTATATAGAGACTCGGTTAGATGTGAAGCCTCCCATCTAATGGATAATACGGAGAGAAGCATGTTATTATAGAGGCTTCACTGTACTGTAGGTGTTGTGGAGAAACATTACGGAGAGAAGCATGTTATTTTAGAGGCTTCACTGTACTGTAGGTGTTGTGGAGAAACATGTGAAAACAAAAATACAGTTTGAAATGATGACATAATTAATGAATGGTTTCCCAACATGTTCAAGAATGATTGATCTAAAGGTAACGAAGGTGAGATTTAACTTAAGGTGTAGAGTTAGCAGTGACACTGAGTATAACCCAGGAAGAACAGGCACATATTACTATAGGTAACTGACTATGCCTCACCGTCACCACTGTAAACTGTAGGACCAGACCTCAGAAAAGTAATCCCCCAAACACAAGCTCGCATTAACCTGTTCCTTTATCATCCAGACCTCAGAAAAGTAATCCCACAAACACAAGCTCGCATTAACCTGTTCCTTTATCGTGTGTACAGAATATAGTAATACTGACAAGAAGACCAAAGGTAACAGGAAGTCGTTGGAGTTGGGTACCCATCGTCAGGGAGTCAGGAGGGCAGCTAACCAGAAGAGGCAAAGTCAACTGAGGGATAGAGAAGCAAAGAACCAACTTATTCAGAAACAAGTGTGTATTATAAAGTTGTCTTGTATGTATTAATCTTGATGTATGAGTAGATGAATACATTAATACACTGTTCCAAGACCTATACAATTGAGAAGTACATCCAACCATACATATGTCCAGGAATACATGTGTAAGGATTTTATATCTATACTAACACCCAATGATGAACACACGCACGCACACACGCACGCACGCACGCACACACGCACACACACACACACACACACACACACACACTATCGAATCTACATCAGCCTTTCTTAATTTGAAATCAGTATTGTATAAATGAACTTGAACATTAAAAAAAATATACATATGATTATTGAACTTAGAAATATATTATAGAACTTAGAAATAGTCAAAGAATGTGTAATTATGGATAGTAGAGTTTACAATTTAAAATAATCCACAGGTAGTCAATGTTCTAGACCAGTACAAGAATAATGCACGAGTCGATCACACTGTTGACAATATTAGACTACTGAAGAAGATTGACAAGAAGAGAACCCCCACAGAGTATATTGATCAGGTAGGTATTGTAGTGTTTGGTCATGTAAGAAACTGTTATCCACTGTACCCCTGTGTAGTGTTATGTATTTTACTGTATAGGAATGATCAAATGTCATACTTTTTTGTATTTTTTTATGTAGGGTGTGTTATTGCCTGTTAAATATTTGCCACTGGGATCTTTTGATTAGTACATGTATGGTATTTGTGTGACCGTACTGCACCTAACCCACACTAGAGTGGAGAATGGCCGTGAAATGTCGACGATAGTGAATTAGATTTGGGTAGGATGAACGGTGCGAGATTATGAGAGCCAATTTACGGTCACTGATGACTTTTCTACCGCCGTGTTTCCAGGTCACAAATCACCATCTTAAAGAATTAGAAAAGAAGGTTGTCGACCATGATCTTGTCCAGCGGCAGAAGGGCAACAAGAAACACGGAGCAGGAGAATCATCGGTGTTCAGCGACGAAGACTTTGAGAAGATGAACGAAGAGTGGCTTCGTCTCTACTAACCAACCTCACCTACAGTACTTTGAGCTCTTAACCATTGCTCATAAAACTTGCCGATTCACTTGTTGGAAATGTTCGTAAGGTGTTTTCGTTGCCTACAGGTGTTGCATGGATTCAAATGGTATATACCCTGAAAATATCCTGGTACTGTATCTGTGTCCATAGTATTGTTATATTTGTATGTGACCTGTAGTTTGTGTGGGTAGATATTTGGACAACTGTGGTGTTGCATGGAAGTTACTGACGAAAATGTTTAACCTAAAGAAATGTATTTAAAAAAGGTAATAAATCTAACACCACTTGCATGTGTTAATACAGTTAATAAGGGATAATTTTAACATTAAATTAACTTTAACTTTAGTTACCAAGAAGAAAAGGGACTACGTTACTAACTCTTCTAAAGCAATCCAGTCTAATGTTCTTTATTTTTTTTAATTGTGAACTTGACTGTACAGTATTGGTGAATATTTTGAAAAAGGAATATTGAGTTGGATGTTACAATACAATGCTGTGTAAGAACTAATTGTGCATGTCCTCCTTCATGGTATTTAGAGTTCATGTACTGGTGTTGAATTCTGTGATAATAACAAATTATTAAATAATCCTGATGATCATTGACAGGTAACTCACACTGTTGTTGTAGTTCCCCTTGTATAGTAGTTGGCAAGGTTATTATTGATGTTACTTAACCATAGTTGTTAGTTGATGCAGCAGTATTATTCCGTCTTTATAAACATAAACACTGTGTAAAACGCTGGAACTTTTGTGTTTATTTTGACATTGTTTTATGTAGCTTGTGTAATTTATTTATTTATTTTTGTTTTATCTACCTCACTTCACCTTGCATGGATAAACTCCAGTAACCTTCTCCTGTCTTAGTGATAATAATAACTTTAAATAAGCTTCGTTCATAATGGCTATGAATGAGAGACTAACAGGTAGGATTGTTTTGTTTGCTTTTGTGAGTTTTCTGGTGATAGTGACGCTGTGGCACCTCCTGTATGGGTCGGAGTACGACCTGTATCACCTCGTCCCGTCACCGATGTACGCCTTTGTCATCACTAGATATCTCTTTCTTATTTTGTCACTTGTCATTCTCTGCTTTATGATATACGCCTGTGTTAATTCACGTTCTCGCACTTGATTTTCAGAGTTGTGGCACGATTGATGGAGAGGAGAAAAAAGTTCCCATTACTGTGGATGTTAAAAAAATGCCCGACATGTGTGATAGTCCACAAAAATGTGTGTGAACCAAAAACTGAGAGATTTTCTTAGCAGCTCACGAGGAAAGATTTTCAGACTTTAAATGATTATGGATCATTTAGACTCGACCAAAATAGCCACTAGTAATGTTTGGGCATGACAAAGTGATCGGCGAGTGTGTGCTTGGAGTGTCAGCGGCCGTGGCGTCGTATTACCTCGTGTGGGTTGTGGGACTGCCGTTTATGGACGAGGATAGTTCCCTAAGACCCTTTTTCCCCGATCCTATCATTGCCATCGCCACCCCTGCCATTATCCTCGTGTTTCTTTTGACACTTACTGGAATATATATTGTAAGGTCATTATACACAGCTTCCTGCACTGAAAGAGACAAGTTAAAGCAACTGTAGTGGTACTGCACTTATTGACACTGATTGGCTTTGGCTTTGACTTGCATGTTATTTGTTTTTTAATAATCAGTTTCATATTTTCTGCAACGAGTGCTTAGTTTATTGTCATAATTGAATATTAGTCACCTTGTCCTGGGATTAACAACACTGAGAATAGCTTGTTTATATATATATATATATATACATGTATATATATTTATCATATGAATAGTTAGTTGGGCAGTTAAAATTGTTTGCGTGTTGGCTTACGATCATGACACGTTGGCTTGTTGTCGGCATCTCAGGGGCTACAAATAGTGGGAAGTCAACAGTAACCAGGAAGTTGTTGGGGGGTCTCCCCAGCACCTCCAGACTAATATGCCAGGATGATTATTTCTACCCTGAAGACTCTCCTCACCATATCCCCTGTCCAGGAGGTGTCTCCCACCACAATTGGGAAATCATCTCCAGTTTGGATATGAACAAGATGATGGAGGACGTTTTGGAGATTGTAGAGTCCTGTCCAGAACCAGTGAATGAAGCACCTGTACCTAAAAGTGTCTCTAACAAGATATCTTTCTCATCTTGTGTAAGTGACTACAATACTAAAGACTTGCCCGTGCTGCTGTTGGATGGATTTCTCATCTTCGGTCACAGGAAGTTAGCGGAGATGTGCGACCTGCGTTACTTCCTCACGATGACCCGCGAGCCGTGTTGGGAGAGGAGGAAATGCCGTGCCTACGATCCTCCGGACCCTCCGGGCTACTTCGAACACTGCGTATGGCCGGAGTACGAATCCCATCTGAAACACGTGAAGGAGAGTGTCCCAAATGTAGTCTTCTTGAATGGTATGGAAGATCATTACTCAACCATTTATCAACAGGTAAAGGCAACTTCAACATTAGATACTTCAGCATGCATATCAAAGGGTCAGTTGTTACATTATAATACTGTTGTTCAAGGATTGGAACGAAAAAACTATACCCAACTGTAACCATTTTCCCACTGTTAGGCCTGAAAATCTATCTTGGTCTGCCATTATGCATTCTGTCAGCCTCCAGCAAGATAATGTATTGTCTCTCATGCATTCTTATTCTTGCACAATGCCTTATATTCCTCCATGTAAATGCTTCTCTCATTCATATTATCTATTTGGCTTTTTCTCTTATTCTTTCTCAACTGTCCTTCATTAATCCATTGACATTCCTGTAGTTAATGTCTTCTCTTATCACCTACTTCAAACCTTCGTCATGTCGGTAATTTCTTGTAATTTCATCATCATTGCTTACCAGTCACTTTTGTTTCAGATCTTTCCATTACACCCTTTTTTCCTCTCCTATACCTAACTATTTGAAAGAATTCACCTCCACAACATGTGCTTTTCCCCAGCATGGTTGAAGAGCACTCCCATGTTCCAATCGCACAACACACACACACACAAATAGGCTGAACTAGGCATTCCAGCAAACTCAGTTACACCCCATGATATGATTACTCAGGAGGCTTGGCAAGTTAATTGTGAGTGTTAAGGACTACAGTATATGGTCTTGCTCAAGCTTCCCCACAGTGCTGTTTAATTGTGGAAGGAAACCATAAAGAATTCTGTTGGTGCTGTTAATTTTCTTAAATAAAAGGTACTAAATATTTGTTTTGGGTGTCATGTTGATTCTCTCTTCATCTATTATATCAACTATAACTTTTGCTGTACTGTCTTTTGAATTTATGTATTTTATTATACTGTATACTGAATATATTTTGTATTTTTATGATGTTAAATATTCTTTGAGGATTGGTTGACAAATGGACAATAAAAGTTTAGATATACTTTCTCTCTAGACTTAGATATTGATGCTTGTTTGTACTATTTACAAGCCTATGTCCTTTCTATATTAGTGAGTGCTGATTTTATAATATGGCGAGTCTCTTCAGCACCTTGTTTTTGTGCTTGAAGTCTATTAAATGTTTTCTTTGCTTGAATAGACTTGTGTGTGTGGAAAGTTCTTCAAATGATAGCTTCTTAAAGGGGCTCTGTTCGTTGATAGTTTCTTGGGGGCCCTCGGTTATTTAGGGGGAATACTGTACCAGAATATCGGCAGGTGACGACAGCTTCTCGTGTCTAGCAAAAATATTATTGTTTAGAATTTTTTGAGAGCATATGCATCGAGGTATTTGGAGGTTATCCCTCCTTGATGTTTGTTGGTCATGTTTTTGACTGATTGGAGTGTGAAGGTACAGTAGTTGGAAAATCAGCTGTTGGAAGGGATAATTTGATAATAATTATGATCTTGGAATGCTGTCGGTAGGGAGTTGGGTGTAAGTTATAACATTCACATTTTAACATTCACACCTAGATGTTTACAGGATACACGGTGCCTGCAGTGGCTTTAAACTATACTACTTTAGCACAAAAAAAAGCAGCTTTCTCAAGAGATAAACAGGAATTATAATAAAACGTTCCATGAAAGCGAGTGTTATCATCCCCTCGGGGTCTTACCTGTACTGGAAGATATCACTGTATTGTATCTGCTTTGTATTTCGAATCAAGAACAGTACTCTTTTGTTCCTGGGAAGATACAGTATTATTTCAGGTTTTGTCTTGAATTAGTTGTAGTGCTGTAAACTAATTCTATTGATTATGACTTTATATTTTGTAAGAAGTGATAATGTGGCCTGATCCAAGGAAGAGGCACTTGTATTTATTTGAGTTAGTCTTGTTTAAAGCATAATAGAATGTACACCCGCTCCAAAAATATCTTTACTGTTAAACATTACGGCACAAGAAGCGAAGGGTCTCGACAATCCTACCGAGGCTACAGGAGTCGAGGTGTTCATTTTGAAATTCATCGGACCGCCTCCATAAAGATGCTCTGTGGAGCGAGTGTTTGAATAAAATAAATCAAACCTTGGGTATAATATTTGATTTAATTTTAAATTTTTTCACATATTTTGGACTAAAGTGATTTTAGTAAGGCGTTTTCTTGGATCGGGTCGCATATAGATCTAGCTGCCGAGTTCATGCTATCCTTATCCTTCAATATTTGACTGAATATTATGATTTGGGTTTATAGGCACAAAACTGTTTAAGTGTCTTCAACTTCTTATGAATATCTAACTGAAAAATTTTTCTTTTGTTAAAATATTCCAGGTAATAAATTTGAGAAGTATTTGAATGTTGTTTTTTATTAAGCTTTTATTGTACAGTACTTTAGATGTATATTGAATGTAGCTACAGTATGTATTGTAGTTTGTTATTGGTGTATCTTGTAGTGTGATATAGGCGCCCCTCTGATGCCAAAGTCTCCTTGTATCGTTATTCTTCTTACAAGAGTTCATTGTTATTTCAGATTTCATTCATAATTACTGTTATTACTATAGAGTCTTAGATATGGGGAACACTGAGCTGAAATAGGACAAGTGCTGATATGCCTGAGAATACGTATGATGTCTTTCAGTGGTACGGTGATGTCCCCATTAGCCGGAACAATTGGTGCAGAGCACTTCTGGGAATGAGAGATTTCCGGGTGACGAGACGACTCACTCAAAGCCGGAAAAATATCCCTCGTCCACGGAATTTTCCGGGTAACAGAAAATTTTTCACGGAATTTCCAGGAAATGTGCTCGATTTTCATCTCTCAAACCTGGAAAACTCTCCCATTCCCGTAATTTTCTGGGTATCGTGAAAATTTTCTCGTAATTTTCCAAAACATTTCCCCCTCAAAAAATAGTTCCGGATAATTCTGGCTTTGGGAACAATTTTCCGAGAATATTTCAATTCTGGGTTTGAGGGATTCTGGCTAATACTGATATTACTGTATTATTTAAATCTGCACTAACAATACTAGCCTTCCACTTAATTCACTTCAATAGCTTCACTGGTTCCAAAGTTATGGTAATTTGAAGGTTTGCAAACTTTAAGTGTATTTTTTGCTCTTTCATTGAAGGCGCTTATCCTACTTTAGTTGTGTGAGCTTCATGTTAGGTCCTCTGCAATCTCTGAACATCTTCTGGAGGTTGTTTGTGTCCTCTCTTGGTAACACTGAGGAAGAGAATATATTTAATGCCTCCATCTCATTGTGATCTGAGTCTGTATAGTAATACTGTAATCTTCAAGCCTCAGACCTTATACACTCACACTAGCCTTTAATATTGATTTTGCTTTACTTTAGAACTTGCCTCCACTCATGCCAAAAAGTTATTTAATCTTTACTCATGACTAGATAATAATGCAGTCCTGATTTATACATTCCCTTCACCAGAATCCCTTTGGCGACTTCGAGTTACCTAAGCTATTTTCTGTCACTCGATAAACAATAGATGACAAACAATACACTCGGGATACTCCTGAGTATGAGGTAACTCGTCAACTTGTAGTAAGAAGGCCATCATCATCATCTGCTTGTTGGTGGTTGGTATCTAAGGGAAGGGAGGAAGTAGAGTGTTGTAGCTAGTTGAGGAGGGTCTGGGAAGGGAATCATGTGGATTATCATGTTTTTATATTTAGTAGAGCATTAATATTTAGTTGGTGTAAATAGTGGTAAAGAAACAATGTTAACAAGCCGTACCTTGTCCTTATGGTGTGACTTAATGTTTCTTTATGGGAAATCAAAGGAAAATATTCATACAATGGTTTTATTATAATAACACAATTATAGTAAGAAAATATATAGAACATATATTTGTAAATGAAGTACTATGAACTCAATTTTTTTTATAAACTCTGTCCGTAATGATGAATGTTGGAGTAGGAATTTGTATATTCTGAAGGTCATCCAGACCTCTGTACTGAAACAAGTCCCTGAGTGTTAAAGTTGTCCAAGAGTTTCTAAAGCATTTATCTTCAACACACTAAAGCAAATGTCCATATCAAATCAACAGGCAGAAAAGCTTAAACATCTCCATGGAAGATGTTGGTCTTTGGACAACTTTCATGGTCAGGGAATTCTGATTTCTACTTCTACCAGATCCAGTGGACATAGATGATGCATGTTCATTGTACTTCATAGATACTGTCTTAGGTTAAGGGTTCGAATGGGTTTTCAAACCCTGGCATTTGGTGTAATTTTCGTGGGCTTCAGTTGATGTAGCCTCCGTCGATGATGCCTCCGTCGATGGTGCCTCCGTCGATGAATCCTCCGTCGATGATGCCTCCGTCGATGAATCCTCCGTCGATTATGTTGCTGTTAGATTCCTGTTGGCTGGTGAAGCTCTGGCGTTGTTGGGTGTTGAAGCTTGGCTGTTGTTGGCTGGTGAAGCTCTGGCGTTGTTGGGTGTTGAAGCTTGGCTGTTGTTGGGTGTTGAAGCTTGGCCGTTGTTGGCTCTGGAATCTCTGGGTGGGCCTGAAGCTGGACTGACGGTTGCGGCTGGGTTGAGGGGCGCTGACCACATTAATGGCGGCTCCAAGAGTGGATTGACTGGAATCGAAGCTCTTGGCGAATCCTTGGGATGAGACGGCCCCTGAGGAGCTTTCCTGGCTGAGGGAGTTGCTGTAGTAATTTGCGATCTCTGAGCCGGGTTCCTCACTCACCTCGGCCTGGAAACCTGAGTCGCCTTCCACATAATATCTCACCACTCTGAGGGACAACAGACATAAGATCAATCACGTACTTTAGAAACTCGAAATACTTTCTTGTATGAAACTCAGGTCGTATGTGATGCTTAAAAATGGACATTTATTTTCTTTAATTAGAAGAGAGAGTAAAATAAACCACTTCATAAATTATCTAGAAATAATTCTTGAAAACGAGGTAGAATAATTAGTATTTTTGTTACATGATATTAAGTCTATACAGTATACTGTACAGGGTGTCTAATTTATCTGACCTAGTTTAAAACCTAATTGCATCACCTTAAAACCAATAGATATAACATACTGGTTTAATAGCAAAGTAAATATTATAATCCTTGAATTAAATGATGAAACAAGGATTTGGATAAGACAGGAACTAAGAGATACTAACCTGTAAAGTCCATTAGGCTGGAGCCAGCGGTACTCTCCCTCAGTACGACCAGACGGGGAGACGGTTTCTTTGTGTTCCTTGGCGTCACCAGTGTCCGCCACGTTCACCCCATAACCGAAGTCGTAGGGCGTCGGCGGCTACCAGTGTAAATAAACGCTTACTTAGACTGTGATTATGAAGAGTTAACGAAAGAAGTTGTGTGTCAAAAAATGAATAAACAAAGATATCGTTGGAACAAACTACAATATTAGGAGAAGACGCTGTTGTATTACTATAAATGTTTGTTTATATTTAAGTTATAATGGCTGAAGCTGTTCATTGATTCTTTAGGGGTTATAAAGGTTACTCTCGTGTGGGGGCGTGTGTGTGTATGTGGTGGATGGTGTGTGCGTGGTGATGGTATGTGTGTGTGTAAGGCCAACGTTCACAATGGTCTTTCTAAACTTCTGCCAGGTCAATTTTGAATCACTGAGGTAAATTTGAATACATCATTGTGTTATCACTGAACCTCTGAATGAGCTCTCGACCTGTAGATCTCTCTTACCTGATCACTGTCGACTCCAAGTTGTGGTGCTCCAGTGGCTGCCATCACCACCAGGCTGAGAAGGAGGAGCTGGGGGAGGAAACAATGATAATATGAAGGAACAGTAGAATGGTTGAGGTGCAGACTGTGTGTGACCAGCCTCAAGAAGTGTAAGTACAAGATAATGTTTAATATATCTGTACTCATTAACTTATTGATATATCTGTTGCTTTGTGTTTATTTGACGAGGGACGCCAGGCCAACACAAGATCCTTCTGACTTTCTTGGCCTGAACTTTATTGAATCAGTTTAAACTAAAGTATGGATTGGAATTAAAGTGACCATTATTTGATGTGAATATTGGTAATATTCTGGGATAATCTGTTAATAAATTAATATATCATAACTAGTTTATTGTACAAATATTGGAACAGTGAAATAGGACTGGTAGAACAGGTAGGCAGCTCTCAGTGTGTTACCTCCTGGGACCATTGAACGATCGGAGGGAGATGACCGCACTTATGCCGAAGTGGACTGTGCACTAGTGAGCAGGTCTTGGGTTAATGGTTCACAGTGACCGTAAAAAATGAAAGATCACCGACCATGTATAACAGTGAGAATGTACTGCACAATCACTGTACTTATCAAAGGACATGTTCACTGATAAATTCACTACGCAATGTTTGATGAATTAATCACTCTTGTAAAGTCACGTCTCGTATATAAACACTCCTTACTCACGTCCGTATGAACAACAAGAGTTACCAGTGACGATTATTTCTCGAGCTGTTCAATCTGTAGTAAATCTCTTAACAAGTTTATAATTATGGTCATTGTTTAGTGTTTTCATCATCATTGAGTCTCAACCCCTGAACCTCACCTAACAGTGTCACCTTCCTCACCGTCACCCCCTACACTTCACCTGTTATAGGCGTCACCAGGGACACCGCCTCGTCTTCCTTACCTGGCGTTACGCTCCTCTGACCTCCTCCACCTTCGTCACCCCTCTTCCTCCTCCCACCCCCCTCCCCACCCTTTCTTCTCTTCCCTCCCCCCTTATCACCCGTCTCCACCGCCCCTTTCCGCTTTCTTCTGCTGACTCATTCACATTCACTTTTACTACCCTGACCATGGGTGTGCTTCCTGCGGCGGGCGCGGGAGCTTCATCGTTTTAGTGATAATCTCTTTCTTTCTTTTTCTCCCTCTCTTTATTTATCCCTCTTTCTCATCATTTCTCTATCGTTTTCTTCGTTTCTCTATTTATCTCTCTCTCTCTCACAGAAAGATACCACGCGTAAAATAACCTACCGAATTTCTCTAACTCTTCCGTTATATCGAGGTTCCATTAGATGTGATATACACCTCTATATAACGGATTATATATAAAAGTCCGTTAAATAGAGTTTCCGCTATAGAGAGGGAAAATAGAGCTGGGAAAAGGTGCGTTGGCAAACTGTATGGAAGAGAGATACTTATAATATAACTTCACGTGGGTGTGTGTGTGTGTGTGTGTGTCTGTGTGTGAGTGTGTCTGTGTGTGAGTGTGTGTCTGTGTCTGTGTCTGTGTGTGTGTGTGTGTGTGTGTGTGTGTGTGTGTGTGTGTGTGTGTGTGTGTGTGTGTGTGTGTGTGAGTAAGGTAAAAGTGATGGGAATGATTGGCTTTAGTGCATTATGGTGAGTAGCTAAGGTGGAGAGAATAAGATAGAGAGTTAATGAGATATGTAGAGAGGGAGGGAGAGGGAGGAGAAGAGAGGGAGGAGAAGAGAGGGAGGGAGGGAGAGGGAGGAGAAGAGAGGAAGGGAGAGGTAGGAGAAGAGAGGGAGGGTGGAAGAGGGAGGGAGAGGGAGAGGTGGTTGAAAGAGAAGAGAGGGAGGAGAAGAGAGGGAGGAGAAGAGAAGAGAGGAAGGGTTAGAAAGCAGAATGGGAGTTGAAGGAAGGAGAAGAATGAGGGAGAAAGACAGTGTGAGATAAACAGAGATACAGACGGAGAACTAGACACTGTTCCCTCATACCCGTCCGCACATATTGAGAGACGATAATAAAAACAGCAAAACTAACATAAAAATGACTTTCTAGATAAATAATGGACGGTAGGAGGGAGAGAGAGGAAGGCTAAGAAGGAGATGGCAGAATGGTATCACGAATACTCCTCCAGGACGCAGCGGAGTATATGACTTGAGGCGTGAGTAAGGAGAGTGTGGGGTGGGGGCGCTTGGGAGGACCTGTATACTAGGGTTAAGTCAAGTGTTAATGAATGAAGGAAAATTACTCTTGTTTGGATTGAAAATATGACTTAAAATTCATCATGTTTGTAGAAAAATGGATTTAATTGGATGTTGAGGTTCCTGACAGCGACTCGACTTTAAAAAAACACTCGCTTTAAAATTTGGATTAAAATTTAATCACTTATATTTAACAGGATTTTTAGGAATAACCAGATAAAACTGTAGTGTATAATTACAATAATTGCCAGGAAAATCAGCGAATAATCGGCGTATAGCCACTAAAATATTAAACAAATGAATAAATCACTTCTCACGACACGGTTACGTATCTACAGTACATCTTCTGTTTTCTACCATCACCCAACTTAAGATTTTTCACCACCTTTACCCAACTTAAGATTTTCACCACCTTTACCCAACTTAAGATTTTCACCAACTTTACCCAACTTAAAATTTTTCACCACCTTTACCCAACTTAAGATTTTCAACCACCATTACCCAACTTAAGATTTTCCTCGTTGATCATATTCAAATATGGAAAATAATTTCTTCCTCACCTGTGTAGACGCCATGACTGGGAAGGGGAGAGAGAGAGGATGGACTGTGCCCTCCTCGTCTTCCTCACCTGGGTTATATACCTTCACTTTCACATCAGGGTCGCTGCGGTCCTGGTGGGAAAGCTGAGTTGCCGAATTCCAAAGATTTTATCATAAATATTTACCCTCAAGTTTTAATACAACTAAACAGTAATAAACAAATAAAATTCATAAAAAACAATAAAACTATAAACCAGAAAGCTTCCAGTATGTTTTTATTGATAGTCAAGGGAGTATTTAATAGATATATATTATTCTTAGCGTTGGTAATGTATAATGTATTAAGCTTGACCTATGTCTCGCCTCGCTCGGGAAGGAAGGTAGTGGTCCTCGGCCTGCTGGTCCCCGCCTGCTGGTCCCCGCCTGCTGGTCCCCGCTTGCTGGTCCCCGCCTGCTGGTCCCCGCCTGCTGGTCCCCGCCTGCACACACACACACACGGGAAACAAGATGAGACTGCCTATTGAAATTGAAAGTAATACCGATTATTTCCTAGCGAATAATGATGATTGTCCCCCTGTGTGATTATGTTATTTTCCTACGACAAATCATTATAGCAGTGAGGTGGATGTGTTTCAGTGCAGCATTTATCTGAGTAATATGTTAAGGTGTAGGTTAGGTTAATTTAGGTCAAGTTAGGTTGGGTTGGGTCAAGTTAGGTTGGGTTGGGTCAAGTTAGGTTGGGTTAGGTCAAGTTAGGTTGGGTTAGGTCAAGTTAGGTTGGGTTAGGTCAAGTTAGTGTATAAAATCAGCCATAACGTATATTTTAATGATGGTTTAGCATGATTAGATGTAAGATAATTAGTGTGTTAATCACTCCTAAGGACGCCAGCATGATGAGGGTGATTAATGCTTCAGTAGACAGAGAGACAGACAGACAGGTAAAGACAGACAGGTAAAGACGTTTGTTTATATGGCTGATACATGACTTAATGACGAGATTACTTAAGACGGGAGATGACACAAGCCAAAGGTGTACTAAAATCCACCAGGTGAACTTATTGAGAGAGAGAGAGAGAGAGAGAGAGAGAGAGAGAGAGAGAGAGAGAGAGACGACCACATTTGACCAACACTGACGCAGGTACAGACACATCGTGGGGCCAGTATGTAACAGTATGTGACCAATATGTAACAGTATGTAACAGAGATGTGACCGAACATCCAAGCATGGCCAAGAGGATAACGTGAAGTAACAAAATGATGAATGTTACAACGTTCTGTTATTAAGTACAAGGCCACATCTTGCTAGGCCAGGGCGACCATTGCTATCACAGGGCGAACCTCACTCGTTTACACAGACAGACAGAGACACGCAAACACACAGACAGACAGAGACACGCAAACACACAGACAGACAGACAAGCAGACACATATACACGTAGACACGCAGACACACAGACACGCGGACAGATAGACAAGCAGACACACAGACAGACAGACAAGCAGACACATATACACGTAGACACGCAGACACACAGACACGCGGATAGATAGACACGCAGACACAATAGACAACACACAAACAGAAGCACACACACACACACACACACACACAGACACACACACACACACACACACACACACGTTCCAATACTAGTAGGTAATTACCGAACACCAAAACTCGGGAGTGAGCGACTCTGCCAGCAAAACCTGTTTATGGTAATGGTAAGACATCAGAGAGACTATACCATTACCATACCTCTCACTTTTACCATGGTCATCAACGGGGCCCCGCGTACGAGCTACCCTAGCAACACAGTTTTTCTTAATGGTGACTATTTTGACTTGGTGAGGTGATCTGGTGTTGGGAGTGTGTCGAGGCTCGCCCCTGTGTGTGTGTGTGTGTGTGTGTGTGTGGTGTGTGTGTGTGTGTGTGTGTGTGTGTGTGTGTGTGTGTGGGTTTGTGTGTGTGTGTGTGTGTGTGTGTGTGTGTGTGTGTGTGTGTGTGTGTGTGTGTGTGTGTGTGTGTGTGTGTGTGTGGTGTGTGTGTGTGTGTGTGTGTGTGTGTGTGTGTGTGTGTGTGTGTGTGTGGTGTGTGTGTGTGTGGTGTGTGTGGTGTGTGTGTGTGTGTGTGTGTGTGTGTGTGTGTGTGTGTGTGTGTGTGTGTGTGTGTGTGTGTGTGTGTGTGTGTGTGTGTGTGTGTGTGTGTGTGTGTGTGTGTGTGTGTGTGTGTGTGTGTGTGTGTGTGTGTGTGTGTGTGTGTGTGTGTGGTGTGTGTGTGTGTGGTGTGTGTGTGTGTGTGTGTGTGTGTGTGTGTGTGTGTGTGTGTGTGTGTGTGTGTGTGTGTGTGTGTGTGTGTGTGTGTGTGTGTGTGTGTGTGTGTGTGTGTGTGTGTGTGTGTGTGTGTGTGTGTGTGTGTGTGTGTGTGTGTGTGGTGTGTGTGGTGTGTGTGTGTGTGTGTGTGTGTGTGTGTGGTGTGTGTGTGTGTGTGTGTGTGTGTGTGTGTGTGTGTGGTGTGTGTGTGTGTGTGGTGTGTGGTGTGTGTGTGTGTGGTGTGTGTGTGTGTCCTCCCCTTTAGATTACAGTGACACCAAGCCCTTAAGAGGCGGTCACCATCTCACAATATATTACCATAAGATCAATAGAGGTGTGGTGTGATGGGTTATGGTGGGTTGTGGTGAGTTATGGTTGGTCTGTGGGGAGTTGTAGTGGGTTGTGGGGAGTTGTAGTGGGTTGTGGGGAGTTGTAGTGGGTTGTGGGGAGTTGTAGTGGGTTGTGGGGTGTTGTAGTGGGTTGTGGGGAGTTGTAGTGGGTTGTGGGGAGTTGTAGTGGGTTATGTTAGGCTAGGCTAAGTGAACGGTCAGTGAACTAGTAGTGGGGTCAGCAGAACACCTGAGACAAGGAGTAAATATACCTGGTTTACTTAATGACTCTCACCTCTGCATATCCTTACACTTGTTACAAACAATAACAACTATGACGATTTGGCAGGTCAGTGAATGTATGGAGGAGTGTGAGGTTGGCTTATTTATTTTTACCTGTGAACACCTGAGGTTAATTTGTTTTTTTTACCTGTGGACACCTGGGGAGGGACAAGGGTAATAATTTTCCCCTGTAAGTGAAGGCATATAATAACTCCTGGATGTTATTTTGGTGTTTTAATTTAAGATAATCAGTCAGAGGTGTTCTTGTATCTTCACTTCCGAGGAATAATCACTGTAAGAAACTCTATAAATGTTTTATAAAGCTCTGTGTCGTGGGAGCTTGTACAGTCGGTTGCACTAATACCTGGTACAGCATCTCGTGCGTTTGTGAAATGTGGCAACTGTGTAGAATGATTATCTAGCATCCTGAAGTCTGGCTACTCTTGTGAGGTTCCTTCTGGTCATTCCGGGAGTTATAGGCCGGATTGATAGTCATTACGAAGCACAATGCCAATTGATAGTGTTCGTGCTGGTCTATTAATAGTCATCCCGATAAACGAGGTATCGGAAGGGAACCGTACGCATATCCCTGAAATGTTGGAAACAACATCGGGTGGCTACCCCCACCCGATAGCTGCCTTACGACAAATAATAATCATCATTATATTTTATGAAAGTTCTTCCAGTACTTTATATTACAGATGTCTACGTTAAATTATATTATTTTTTTTGATAAGAACAATTAAAAGAAGTGTTAATACGGATAAATGAACTTTCACAACACTGTAATGAACTTGAAACATTATTGGAATGTTGACATCACAGCTCCGACTGCTGTGAGCCTCATCTTCAATTAACAATTACTTCTGTTATCATTTAAGGTATGTTTCTTATCTTTATTCATTCATACAATATTTTTGTCGTAGTAGTAATAAAATTTCAACCATCTGAACCACGAAATTCACTATGTTTTCCGGAATGAGGCAAGTAGATGGTAGGCAGCCACCAAACAGGGAGGTATTGGGAAGATATTGGAAGCATAATGTGTTGTCTAATGGTAGACCCTGCTGCCATATATGACCAAGTCCCAGGTTGATGATCTGTCTTTCTGCCTCATTTACACACAACTGCAGGGTCTCAATTGTTTCTCTTACTATTGACAAGACAACATACTGTACATATAGCGTTTCTAACTATTGATTGTTATTATTTTTTCTTTATTATCATTATTACAGTGTTGTTATTATTGTTATTATTTTATTTTACTTTAAATTATAAATTTTATTTACTATGAATTACTATTATTATTATTAAATTTTCGCCCCCCAGGCCCCGATGTGGGTCATTGACCTGTGCCCAGGTGGGCTAATCCCCTTAAAAAAAAAAGAAAGCCAAGTGAGCTCACTCTATCTTGAGTTAGCAAGGAAAATATCACAGTTTTTGGTCCAGTAATATAGTTTAGTATAAACGTTAATATTTATTTTCAACAAGATATAAGCTAAGGTTTATGACCTACAATGTCTTGTGTGTGTCAGGCAGAAATATGACGACATAAGTAAGCATTAGATTTCATTTTCTTTATTCTTTAACTTAAATATTTACTGTCACTAATAAAATAAAGAATAAGTACAGCTTACTATCAATACAAATAATTTGCTCTAAGATTCTGCAATACTCGGCTACATCACAGTTTTAATGATACTCACAACACCACTCTTTGGTTAAAAAAGTCTATTTACTTTTAATTTTTACAATTGATATTTTCAGGCCTTTCTTTTGCTATCATTTATGGTGTTGCTTGTAGACCTGTCCTCACTGATTGGCCTTCGCTAAAGTGCCATGTGTTGGGTTTCAGACAGAGCTGCAGAACGTTCTCTTACTACCTCCATGTTTGATAACACGCGAGCAAACATTGTTGCCAAGTACTCAGATGAAAAAATTATCTATTTTGTTTCGAACAGATAATAAAGTTCAATTTTATAAAAAAATATATTTTACAATATATTATTGTGCCGGTATAAAATAGCAACTAAATATCTCTCTAAATCGTCTTTCTAATTATGTGAAATAATACATTTGGCACACGCGCATGGCCAAAAAAAATTTTGCCATCCGACACGAGCTGCCGTGTTTACACGCTCATGTAAGGGTCTAGGAATATGGCACTCAGCGTTGGGTGGTTGCATCCCGACACACGATCATCGA